CATATTTGTCAGGCCAAAGAATACCTGGCTAAAGCAGTAACACAAGTTTCAAACATGTTACAATTAACATATATGAGCAGGCAGTACATGTCTTGTTATACTCTGAAGGCCATTAATGCGTTGGCCATTTCGTGCCATCACTGCCTTCCACTGACAAGACCCTGAGTTGTTTTATGTAAATTAAGTTGAGCTACGATACCACTGCCACATTTCACACAAAATCAAAGACTCGGCCTATACTTTATAGACCAACAATTTATATGCTCAATTAAAGAGAAAACTATAGCAAATTCAAAGGTTAATCAGTTTGCAGTTGAATTACTTGTTGAGAAAGAAGGAAACTAATTTTAAACAATAATTATGGCATAAGATTATTTTCCTGATGCCCTTATCTTTAGCACAGATATTAAGAAAGAGTAACTCAAATACCAAGTGTTTCAAAATAAGCCACTGGAAGGACTAGTAGAGTAGTATTTCTATCTGGTTTATCTCACTTAACAGCTTACCAGAAGAGATATTCAAAACTTCTAAAAGATTTTTCTTCTGTTAGTAGGACCTCTGTTTTAGAAAATTTGGTAAAGCTACAATAGGACAGTTACCAATAATTTCTTATTTACTATTCAACCTACAGACAAACAGCAGCATTCAGGAAGCAAATTAAAGTCTCCCTTACCGGCAGTGGAGTATTTGTAATGATATTACATTACACATTGAGTGGCAGCAGGAACTTCTAGTGAATTTGTCAACTTATTTTTAATATTCTGAAACCCTTAAAAACATTATCTAATCTAACAAAACACTAAACATAAAACATGTAGAAGATCCCTTTATCCTTTCAATCTTAGAACTGAGACTGAAAAGTATCATGTTTTGTTCCATGGATCATCATAAAGATGAAGAACTTCTTTATTTTCACAGAAAGATCTCTAGAATAGAGGTTCTCTTTTTAAATATTCTGTTTTTACTTTGTTACCAAGACACATGAAATGATTTATGAACTCCTATAACTGTTTCTGTTACCCCATCAATGCAACAGCTGCTGGCTTTTACAAAAAAGGCTCAAGGAAGAATATGATTATATTTAAAGACTGCATAATTTTTAAGCACATAAGTAGTTTTGTCAATATCTCATTTAGCTATCAAAACATATCCTGCCTTTCATTTGTGCTCAAAAAGGTAGTAATATTTTATTAAACATTTATTCAGCACACAGCAAACAGGCCTCCCTCTTCATTTAGACAAAGCTACTACAAATCTACAACTTACAATTGTCAAAAAATTCAACTCTTTGTAATTTTGGAACTTGACAGTGCACATCACAGGACCTGCTATTTTCATATCAGTTTACCCTCTTATTGGAGTAGCATTACTAGAAATAATTGAGGAATGAGTGTCTGTAATTCTTTGACCATTTCTGGCATCGGCAGTCTCTCAAGGAATATTTTTATGGTCAGTGGCCAGGTTCTATTCCTTCTACAGTATAGGTGGAGATCAAGAAATTTCCCATATTTACTTGCCTATCATCACAATTATCAGGTAAACAAGCATAAGGTCTATCAGAAGAGATGCTTTGTCCAATATGGGCAAAAATGAAGCCAATAGGGTCTAGTACTTGAAAAACAAATTTGCAAGGTTTTTTGTGAAAATATGTTGGCTTTTAGGCACGAGAAACAAGAAATTTCTGAAAACTACTGTGGTCACTTGCTCTCCTCACTCTCCACCAAAGCCAAATGTGCAGGCTACATCAATCGTTGAATCAGTAAGGACCACCTCAGTCCCTCAACTACCTGGTACAGACTGAGACAGGAAACCTGACACTCGTGAAGGAAGCAGAAGGACATTGGAGGATGTCAACTGAAGAAGTCAAAAGTCAGCGTAAAACCACACATGCTGTTCACATAAACAGCAAGGGATATGACAGAGACTGCAGTTTAAGCCACCCTCACTTGCCCCTAGAAAAAGCAAACATGTTAGTAAGCATTTGGAGAACCCTAATCACATTTGCTTGGACTATGTTTATGCAGACGCCCCTGCTGTGATGGAAACAAGCATAGAACACTCAGACTGGCAAGTGACTTGTGGCCATACAAGAGAGTCACTCTGTCACGGAAGAGTGTAAGATAGTTACATTTACTAATCTTTACTAACTAGGTATGTGATCAACGACTATTTTACTTCAGTAAAATTGTGTGTCAGTGTATGCACTTAAGCAGAGGACCAAAAAGGACCATGACATGTGAAGCCAGCATCATACAAAGGACGATTAGGGATTAAAGGTAAAGGCCCCAACCCATTTCTTCTAGAATTTCTTAACTGAAATGTCCAAATAGAAAATACAGGAGACTGTATTCTAGGAGCACTCAGTCCATCCTGTGACACACTTAGCCTGTTTGTGCATTTAGAGGTAGCATCAGTGCTAGAGATCAACCACCAGCCCATCCATCCCCCCAGGCTGCTCTCAGCTTCCCGCAGCAGCACACCACATTTCCAGTCAGACCAGCGCTACTTCTAGCATGGTACCTCTGCAAAATGAACTGGAAAATGCACCCAAAGGAACTGTGCAGCTAGTGTCTCAGCTTGCAGCATGGCCAAGTGGCACACTTCCACCAATACAGACGGGCAGCACGCCACAGAGTTGGAAAGACTTGCAGGGTATGAGAAGAACTGAACTTACACTGCCATGTGACACCGCGCAATGAAAATCCACAGACTTTGTTCACACCAACTAAAATCAAAGTACACCATATGATCTTACTAAAATGTCAATCTCCCTGCATTGGCATACCACACACAGTTCACCACAGATTTGAAATCTAAATTCAGAAAGTAGCATATGACTTTCTAGTAGGGAATTTGGTATGAAAGGACTCATTTAGAAGAAAAACAGAATCTTTAAGTATGGAAGAGAATGCTCATAAGCTCTAATTGTGCAAGCATGCACCAGCAGGTGTCAAACACAGTTTCAGAGCTCAAAGATAAATTCCATTTCAACAACAAAGTAAATAATATCCTAAAGACAAATTCAAGTCTGAAAACAGCAGGAGAACCTGGGACTTCTACACCTTATACATATTTCATATTTATACTGAATATACCCTAAGGGTTTAGCCCAGCTACGTTAGCTAGAAAGTCCTAATTTCTAGCAAAAGTAAGCAGTTCCGCCCAATTTCAGTTAAGGAAATATAGACCAAACAACCTGAAACAAAACCGTAACACTGAAACAAACACGGAACATGATGCAGAGGTTACAGATAAATTCTCAAGAACACTGGACTTAAGGCATGTCCCTATTTGCTTTAAATCACCTAACCACGCATCTTTCCCTTAACTTTTTAGGAAGCCTGCATCAGATCCTGGGAAACAGTAGGCTGCTACCAAAGTATGAAATACATGTTTCAGAACCAAGAACTAAGCAGCAGATACACCTCAAACATGGCTTCCTTTCCTTTCTTGTTCTTTAGAAACTCTTGTGGTCACTCCTGGCAGGAATGTCATGGTATCAGCAGCACCAGCCCATTCATTTAGCATTCACCTTACAGTCACATCATATTGGGTGCTTACATTTCACTCACAACTCTGACTGGATCTTTTGTAAAGAAGCTGTAAGCAAAGGCTGAAGGCAGAACAGGGCTTGACGTTTAAAAGCACTGTTTTAACTTCAACTTACTAACTAAAACACCCTCATGTTTTGTCTGAGACCATATGCCAGAAGTGTTTAAGCATTACAGTAACAATTTGCCCTTACGAAGATAAAGCAGTGATGAAGACCAATGTCCTGCTAGTTTTCCCAAACAAATTTTTGTAAGTTTAACTAAAGTAGCTACTCTTGAAGACTTAAATTTTTGTTCCATATTGGTTACTAACATTTCAACAAAAAAACTACTCAAGGGAAAAAAAATATTGATACATCTATTTTTTAAACTACTTGAATACAAGACAATTGCAAGAAGCAATTAACAGAAAATAACTTCAATGAAAAGCAACTCTGACTAGAGCTTTGGGGTATTTAACCTAAATGACATTAACCACAATTATGTAACTGCATTAATACAGACACATTCACATTTTAGTCTATAGAGACAAGCTTTTAATATCTCTTCTGCTTGAAGAAATAAAATAATTCCTCTGACCACAAGCACAACATGATCCAAATTTCTGCTAATTTCTAAGTAATTTTCACACACCAAACATAGTACCTATTTTAAAATAGACTAGCAAGTAGCGTGGCAAGACACCTACCCAAAAAATTCACTGAAACTGAAAACTGCCCAATTCCTCCACACCACCAGAGCCGCTATCAGAAGTGAGATCAGACTCCCGCCACTTCAGTGTAAAGTTTTTTTCCTGCATTTCAGTTTTGCAAACAACCAAAAATGGCACAGGTAATCATGCACCTTAGGCATAGTATTATAGTAATTAAAAACAAACAAACAAACAAACAAAAAACCCAAAGAACAAAGCAATACAGTATTTCCACGAGGCAGATTATAGGCAGACTATAAACTATTTTGAGAGTTGTGTCACACAGCAAGAGAACATCAGAAGCAAGGGAAGATGCTCCCACCTAACGCACCACCTCTCTACCGGGATTCCCAAAGCGGGATAACAAACAACGACAGCGAGTGCTGCCCCTACACCCGATCCTTCCAGACGCCTTCCGTGGTACCTGACATTGGCTCAGGGCACCCATGGCCCTAACCAAAGCGGCAACCCGGAGGCGCCAAGCCCTTCGGGGGGCCTGGTCGCCCGCCCGCCCAGCAGGAAACCGCCGGCCCCGGCCGGACGGGCACCGCCGCCCGTTCGCCCCCCAAGGCCTCCCCCGGCGGGGCGCGGCCCGCCCAGAAGGAAGCCCTCCCGGCCACGACAGCGGAGACGGTGTTCATGGGGAGCGGGAGGCCCGGGGCCCCAGAGGAAGCCCCGCTCAGCCCCGCAGCGGCAGGTCCGCCCCGCCCGGCCCGGCCCGGCCCCGGGCGCGGCCTGCCGCCGCCGCCCGCTCTTACCCTCTGCGATCACCCGCTTGATTCGCAGCTTCATGTCGCCCATCTCCACTGTCTGCCCCACAAAATCGTTCTGGTCGCGGCTGGCGG